TAAGATTGACATTAGGGAAGGAGGGAAGCCGTGTTTACATAGTGGCAGGGAGGGGAGGAAGTAGAGGGCAAGCGGAAAATAAAGGGCAGCTGAGAAGGAGCGGAAAAGAAGAGAGAATGCAGATCACTGCTTCTCACACAGCCCCATCTGGTCTACCCAAAATATGGAGGGAAGGGGTGGTGAAATGGAGCCCCCATGGGAGCCTAAGTGCAAGGCCTTGGGCTCCATCATTTACTAGCTGCTTGATCTTGGGGAAATTACTTAATCTTGTACAACTGAAAAGTGGTGAAGCTCAGGGATTCAAAACAGGTCTGCCTGATTTAAAGACCCCAAACATTTTCCCAGCTTATACAGCATCTTCTAATCCATACCCACACAATGGACCCTTGGTAATGAATACAGTAATTAATAACTTCCCAGACGGTAGTTGAGCTTGTTTTAAAATTCCTATAGTCAAGGAAGTTGGGAGAATGTTACAAGAAGATTAGTTAGGAAAAAAATGGTGTGTCATATATTATCAGTCTAGAACATTTGGAATTGTCATTCGGAAGAAATAAGCTCATTATTAATAGATTACTTTTCTTGTCTTTATGTGACTATTTTCTTAAATTAAAAATGCTTTTTTTTTCATATTGCAAAAGCAATGCATGTTCATCTAATACCAATTGGAAAATAAAGATAAGCAACTAATACAAAATTAAACACACTCATAATCCACCCACCCAGCTATAACTGCTGTAAACGTCTTTTAGACTTTCTGTGCTTTTATATAGATTTTTTAAAAAGTGTAAGTACTGTTTCTTTCACTTCACGAACATCTGGTCAGCAACATTCCGTGTCAATACGTTTGCCTTTCCTACATCATTTTTTATGTCTGCTGATGAAGGTGAGTACTTTTATTTGTTTTTAAACCACACTTGTTTACTCAGAAGTCAGAAACACACAGATAAGGAAACATCTGAAGAGCCCAGGTGTGGCTCTGTGGAGAGGTTGAGTAATTCAAAACAAAGTGCAAAATATAAAAACAATTACAACCAGTTTGACAGTTGTGTGTCTGTTTCCTACAGCCCTTCTACCCACAGGTCTACCGCTGACTTCAAAGAAAAGTCAGCACAGAGGAGGTCCGGAGGATAAGGTGCAAACCGAGAATCAAACCCACGATAAGAGATTAAAGGAAGCTTGATCAAAGACCCAGCATAAAAGTGCTAGCTCATGACTTGCCTTGGCCCATGGCCCCAAAATATTCACCAGAACAGAGAGCACTCTTTGAAGTGATTGGAAGCGCCCATGCTCAGATGAGCTCTCTGGTCAAAGGGAAATTTTTAAAAAGTGGCACAGGAAAGAGTTGGCAAATTTGCCTCTTCCTATCTCTGGCCTGCACAGCCCTCACAAATTGTTTGAACACTGCTTCTTTGGTTTGTTTTCCAGATAGAAGTCATTTAACTGGGTGTCAAGTACGAATTCAACCTGAGCGGGGAAAGATCACTTGTTTCCTTTGTGGGAGATGTGAGAAGTGTAGAGGCATTTCACATGGCAGCGGACTTGTGCTCACAAGCATGGAGCTGCTCCACTGCTCCTCCTTTTTCTTCAAGGTGTTTAAAAGAGCATGAGATATTTCCAAACTGGCAGTAAGACTTGCTCATTAGTGTCCTTGTTCATTCTACTCACTCATTACTCGTTCACTGCTCTTACCCCCTCGGAGTTTATTGCTCCTTGTGGTGTTAGGACATAAACCATCCATTTCCCCAGGGAGGGGAAGAAAATGGAAGTGCTCCCAAAATGGCAGTTCCCTCTACCACATTCAGTTTAAATACTTAAAAGTATTTTAAAAGACAACAGTTACATAAAATTGCTAAAAATGTATGCTTAGAACATCTTTGGTTAGCACTTCTTTCAGCCTCCAATTTTCTGGTTTTTCACTTTTTACATAATTCTCCAAGTGTTGAGGGTCTTTATTTTCACTTCCCCTGTCATCATCTCTTCATTTCCTTTGACGTTTAAGGGAATTACTTTTTCTACCTTTTTGAAATCAATTTCCTCAGCTCTACCTGACATTTCAAGTTAGAGTTTTTACTGACAAATCTTGATTGAGTGCAGCATGAGGCTCTGTAAGAGACCTGGAAAGCGCATTCCCTTCTTTACCAGAACCACACAGTCTAGGTGAGGGGTTCATGGTTTTTCCAACAACAACTAAAATGAATACGATGGCAGCTGATACAGATTTAGTGAGGACAGTCCTTGAAGAAGGAGGATTTGAACTGAGCCTTGGAAATGCCTGAAATCTCTAAACATGAAAAAATTAAAAAGGATATTTTAATAGGGGTTGATGCACCATGGTCTAAGTTACAAAAGCAGAAAACTATAGGCATTCACAGCAGAAACTGAGCACAGTCATTTAAATTGGGGCCTATGGCACATGTGAGGAAGTGGGGAGAGAGAAGCTTCACAGGATAAAATCAGAGTGAGAATATGCTGTGGGATCTGGATCTTTCTTCTTTTTTAAATTTCTTCCAGAGTCATTTATTCCATCCATGATTTTATTTGTTTTCTTTTTATTCATGTATAATTAACATGCAGTGTTATATTAGTGTCAGGTGTGGATTTTATTATTATATTTGTATTATTTATATATTTTTCTGGATTTTATTATAAATGCAGACGGAGCATATTGAAAACCTCAGAGTGGAAATGGCATGCAAAAATGTTATGGTAATAATCGGACTGGCACACAGGATGGATTGGAGTAGGGAGAGGCCTGGGGCCATAACTTGGGCAAAAGGGCCTAGATAGAGCCTAAGAGAAGGAGGGCCCAAAACAGAGCAGAAACAGTGGGCATTGCAAGGATGGGATGGACTGGAGGCCAGGAGATGAGAACTGTTCTGACCTGCAGGAGTGGAGGAGGGGGTGTGTGGGAGGAGACAGTAGGACTCAGATGACTCAGTGCGGTGGTCACACATAACCATTTGTGCCTATGCCTTTTATGAGGTGCTAGGTGATGGGAATACAAAGAGGCTAAGTTCATCAACAGAACGGTCGGGAAGACACAGTAGGTGTCCACAATCAGAAACCTCATCTGAGCATTCAAGACTGAGTGAGGCCATGAGCTCTCAGGAGTTCAGAGAAAGAAAGAGCCCCTGAAGTGTGGAGTCATGGGAACTTCAGGGAGAAGATGGGACATATGCTGAACACTGAATAGTGGGCAGCATTTGGGAAGAAAGGGAAGAGAAGTTAGAAGGGTGGGGTGAGGGAGAGAGAAGCAATAGTACTGGGTGGAGAAACACAAGAGTGTTCGTGGCACATGGAGCAAGCCTATCTGGTTGGAGCAGAGAGTGTGTAAGAACACAGAGGCAGGATATAAAGAGAAAAGACAGAGAGAGACTTTTGACTAGTCTCAGAAAGACTTAGAGGCCAACTTAAAGAGTTTTGTAATTTAACCTGGGCAGTGTCAAACCACTGACATTTTCCAGTGGGAGAGTGACTAACAAAAGTGTATCTGGGGAAGTTTCATCTGTGAAAGATGCATGGGATATATCCAAGGAGGGAGAGGGTCCTAGCACGATGAGTAGATGGGGGACTGCCAGTTAAAAGGGAGTGAGAAGAAAAACTGATCAAGGCAAGAGTACAGAAAAGAGGCAAAAGAGTTACCAAGAAGCCTAAAGGGCAGGGGGAAATACAGAGTTTTACCCAAGGCTCAAACCTGGGAGGCCGTGATACGGGTCGTGCTCTACACCATTGCGCACAAGTCCAGAGAGGACTGGTCTGGAGACAACCCACAGTTTAGCGTCAGAGACATGGAGCTTGAGGGGGCAGCCAAGCAAACACACCCAGAAGGTGATGAGAAGCGGGGGCTTGACGTTCAGCTGGAATAGAGACTGAGCCATCATTCCCAGTTGAAAAAAATCCGCACACCTCAGCAATTGTTTGAAGTTTTTAATTAATGAATTAATTTCTTCAGAAAGCAAAGTATTTTCAAAAGCTCGTTTGAGAACTTATCCTCTCGCGATACAGCTGCGTTCTCAATTGCTCTTGTTTTCACAGCAGAACAGCTCAACTCGTAGGAGAAGGAATGTGGGGAGGTCAGTAGGAAGGTTTTCTCACTATTCCAGGTGTTAGAAACTGTGGGCGTTGGGCCTCCTGGACGTAATATCCTCCTCAATGGCAGTAATTCATATTTTATGCATCCTTCTATCAACTGCGGTACCTAGCACAGTGTTTTGCACACTGTAAATACTCCCTGTTGGCTCATTTGCATTTTCATCGTGGTTCTCAAAGATAAAAGAGTGGACATAAGAAAAGCTAACAAGCTTACAGCCAATTTTACAATGACAGACTCTACAAAAACAAATGCAAATCAGATGTCCAATTTGAATTGCAAAAATATTGTAAGCAAGGTCCAAGAAGTAATAACGGCAGCTTCAAATCTTTACTAAAATGATAAAATCCATGAACAGTCCCACAGGGGCGCCTGGCTGGCTCAGTTGATGGAGCAGTCGACTCTTGATCTCGGGGTTGTGAGTTCGAGCCCCACGTTGGGTGTAAGGATTACTTAAAAACAAAAAAAACAATCCCACATCCCTTGGAGTGTCAGAGACATTCAAAAGTCACAGCACCTTGAAGAGTAGAGTCAGCAGCTAAAGTTACCAGAGTGAAGAGACACCTTGTGTCAGGCCCCGGCTCAGGCTGGCAAAGGCAGACTGGTATTCTTTTTTTCATCTGAGATAGGACCTAGCAAGAACTTCAGTTATTTGGAGGTGGGGGTGAGATGTAGGATGGGAGGACCAAGACCTCTCAGAAATAAACCTAACCAACTATAATAAAGGAGAGGAGGACTATACATAGATAGTCATCATTCCTCTTCAATTGACAGTAACATAAGAAAAAGGAGCATCAGTCCAGTTGACTTGATCATAAAAGAGAAACAACAAGGCTCTTGTTCCACCTTCCAAACTACTTAAGAAATACATCCTTCATTTTATCTGGTTCTTTCTCTGGTCTTTCAGCCGCTCGACTAATCCAGAACATGGATGCTACTGCTGAGCCTTGTACAGACTTTTTTAAGTATGCCTGTGGAGGCTGGTTGAAACGCAACGTCATTCCTGAGACCAGCTCCCGTTACAGTAACTTTGACATTTTAAGAGATGAACTAGAAGTCATTTTGAAAGGTTAGTGGAGTTTGTGTCTATGCATCAAAGATTTCTCTCTTAATATATCCATTTTTTAAAGATACAACTCTTAGCCATTATGGAGAATGCCACAGAAGATTAAAGTCGATAATTCCTCCAAGTTTTGTGGCTCACCACTAAGTCACTCTGAGGCTGGTAACACTGAAATGGATATATTGGCATCTCAGCATTCCTGCTTTCATGTGTGGGTACACATACGATAAAGCTCTGTCATTCTTACAGATGGCATCTTTATGCCATTTCACATAAGAAGAAATTAATTGATGGCCACTAAACACCACCTCCATTGTTTTTCCACTCTGGTCCTGGGTCGAAGTCAGTATTGAGTCGTTACTGTGTTGAGGATGTTACTGACATTTGCATGCCAGAGCAGGTATATTTATTCTAACCCATCTAAGACAATCGCCTTGGGAAGCTGAGGAAGTCTTGTCTAGTCTTCTGCTATCCTCCATCTTCTGTGTTCCCCTCTTCTAGAAGTTACTTTGTAGAAACACAATTTTTGCTATTTTCAAACTTCCAAACAAGTAGAATAATTCAGTCAGTTTATTTGGAGCATGAATAGTACAATCACACAAAGATAATTATTTCCAGCCATAGGTGGAAGACTATCATATTAAATTCCATATTCCTCGGCATTATTATTTCTTTTTAATCTCAATTTCAAAAACAGTACCTTATGTATGGCAGAGCAGTACACCTCACTGTTCACAAAAAAGATAATCTCGTCAAAAAGACTTTCATCTAACTTGGCTAATGACATCAACTCCCAGTTCTGCACTAGGAATAAGGTAAGGGGTTTAGCTTTTCCTATAGAGTTTAGAATGGGGACGGAGTGAACCTACGTACACAAAAACAAGCTTTTTTTCTGAACCCGCATTGCAAATGTTAATTACAGCTGCAAATGAGCAATTTTATTGATGTGTTTTATTAAATGCTCTATTTTAGATGTTCTTCAAGAACCCAAACCTGAAGATATAGTAGCAGTGCAGAAAGCAAAAACATTGTACAGATCTTGTATAAATGAATGTAAGTGCTCTCCATTTTATCTCATTAACAGTGTGCCCAAATATGCAAAGACTTCATAATGAATTTATTTTCATTGTTTTCAAAAGCTGCCATTGATAGCAGAGGTGGGAAACCTCTACTCAGTCTGTTACCAGATATATATGATTGGCCAGTAGCAACAGAAAACTGGGAGCAAACATATGGTAAGGCAATTTTTCCCTCTTTTTTAAAAAAATAATTTCCATGTAAAATCTGTGTTATTATAGTATCATATTAATGCACTAAACCTTCTAAAAGTATACTTCACCTTTCGTTGCTTAAGGTACTTCTTGGACAGCTGAGAAATCTATTGCACAACTGAATTCTAAATATGGGAAAAAGGTCATTCTTAATTTTTTTGTCGGCACTGATGATAAGAACTCTGTGAACCATATAATTCATGTAAGTTTGTGTGGCTGACAGCCAAAGTTATCTTTAAATTGTAATAAAATGTTGGGCACCTGGGTGGCTCAGTTGGTTAGGCGACTGCCTTAGGCTCAGGTCATGATCCTGGAGTCCCGGGATCGAGTCCCACATCGGGGTCCCTGCTCAGCAGGGAATCTGCTTCTTCCTCTGACCCTCTTCCCTCTCGTGCTCTCTATCTCTCATTCTCTCTCTCTCAAATAAATAAATAAAATCTTTTAAAAAATTGTAATAAAATGTCTACATACATTGTTATTGATATTTAGAAATAATGCATATTCTCATTTGAATTGCATGAGCAAGATAGTAATAAATTCGTGCTCTGTCCCCAATACCTGGATTCCCAATTTTGGAAGTATTTTCTTAATGCTGTGTTTTAGACATTCATCTCTCCCTTCTGCTACCGTAGGTCTAGATACTGCTTTCTTCGTAAAATAAAGAAATGAAAGGGCCTCCTATTTAGAAAAAGCACCCGATTTCTCTGTGTGTTCATGAAAAGAGCATGGTTTGGTTTACATAAGTAATGCAAGTCTAGAAACCAAAATTTCTAATTGCTTCCAAAAAGAACATAGAAAAGCGTTTTTGAATACAATTTTGGTTGTTACTAAAGAATATCTGAACTTTTTTTTCAGTGAAAGTAAATAAAATATTCTTTTAAAATGGATTTATTCGATTTTTTTCTCATGTAAGCCATTCATTTAGGTTTACTTAAGGTGCCACCTAAGATGAGATTAATAATGAGTATGTTTGGAATGGACTAAAACATTTACAGAACTTTTATTTGGTTTCCTGTAAAAGAAAGTACCCCAAAAGCTGCAAGTCACAGATTCGTATTTATGTCACTATTGCATAAATCTTTAGGGCCATTTTTATCAAAATCATAAAAAGAGATTGAAACCAGCTCTCTTCTACAGTCGACCCCTTTCTCCTTCCAGAATTCCCTCCTTTGGCTCTTAAGTGCCAGCATCCCCCATGATCACCATGGAGAGATTTCCTAGGGGGAGTTGGAAGGTTGGAAAGGGGCTGAGCCCTACCTTGGTGACACCTTCTGGCTCTTTCCATACCAGTCCTCTGGGTTCTGTTTCTTTCATATTGTCCTGGGCTCTTTACAGCTGCTGGCTTTCTCACTCTAATCCATCTGTGCTCTCACTTGTCCCGGACCCATCTAACCATGCAGTGCATAGGAAGCAACCTCACAGATCTGGGAGTGCGTCCAGGTGGCTCTCCCTGGAAGACAATGGACCAGACACACCAGAGCAGAGCCTTGTTTCTTTCCTCTTTCACACACCCAGCTGCCAGAATTTGAGCAGAGCAGGAGAGAACTGAGGAGAAGTCTGCTCTATCCCCCTAGGGTAGGGGATGTCAAAAAAAAATCTCTGGCAAGATTTCCCCTAGCCAAACAGTTCTAGAGTTACCATAGAAGTTTCCAATTTTTTGTTTTTTTCCATCCCAATTAAGGGTGAGAGTAGAAGAGAATGTCCCCCAGGAGAGCATATTAGGATCTCAGGAAGCCAAATGTCCTGTAAATGTATAATTTAGAAACTTCCAAGTCCTAGATTCTAACATGTTTTTGTCTACCTGCCCCTTCTATTTTGCATTAAAAAATCCTTCCCAGTGTATTTTTATTCAAGTTTTCTTTGGTTTTCCTCAAATACCTGTAGCATAATCTTCCAGATTGCCTAACTACCCATCAGTGTAACACTTCCAAGTGGTGTGGAAACCATTGCTTAATTTGTATTCACTCACTGTCTGATTGTTACCCTTATAAACAGCAAGAACACTAGGATCTTGTTCGTACATAGATAGACATGCTTATATGTTGTCCACCTGTCCCACATCAACTGAACGGTTTGTTTTCTTCTTTGTATATTTCTTATAGATTGACCAGCCTCGGCTTGGCCTCCCTTCCAGGGACTACTATGAGTGCACTGGAATATATGAAGAGGTAAACAAACAAAAACACAAAACTACGGGAACAATTGGTATAAACTTATATAAATAATGAAAAAGACTTAAGGCCAGCTTTAAACTTAACCCTCTGTGTTCTTCACCCAGAACAGATGCTTAATATTATACATAATAGTGAGCTTCCTTTGACTGAATGAATGTCCTCAGCAGAATGAATGAAAGTCTCTTGAGAAATAAGAAAACTTGGAATTCCTGATTTGTGTCTCGATTCTTACTATTGAAGTCAGATGACCCATTTTGAAAAGTGAATTTTAAGTGTTTCATTTCCTCTATAAACTGAGTCATTTAAAAACTGAACAGACGAATCATGGTCTAGGGTGGTGCCCGTGAGGATCAGGGAGTGGTCCGTGGTGAGACACATCCTACTCTGCAGTACACTTTCAGAGCTTTTGGATGTGACACTTTAGGGAACTACCTAGGTAGGAGCTTCGGGTTCAGACAAACCTTTGCGGCCACCTCCTGACTCTAACACTGGTCCGTGAGCCAAGGGGCACCCTACACCACAGAAAACTGCTGGACATCCTGGGGTGTTTTGTATTGTCTCAGAGCCTTACTGCGCTCACGCTATGTCCATGTGCTTAGGCTTATTGATGTAAAAAAAAAAAAAACAACAGAAGATAAACTCAGCCATGGGATGGATTTCAGATACTTGTGAAAGACGTTAGTTCTATAAATGTTTTCCTCATCATTATTTTGTAACTCAGAAGTAAATTAAGTTTACATTTGATGATCCTGATGGGTTACAACGTACTGGTTATGGCTGAACTTACCACTTAGCGAAAATGATTAGCTAAATATGTTTATGCCAAAATTTATTTTGCCTTATTAAGTTTAAATGACATGGACTAAATTCACTGTACAGTATCTTTTTGAGTGGCTACCCAACACTGAAATGAAGAAAAAGATGTATTATAAAAGGCCACAATCAGTAGCACAGACAGTCAAATGGAGGTGGGGTATTTGAGTTCATGATAATCTAGTTACTGTGTGGGCTGCAGCTATTATAGGCTTTTCGAGCTACTTCCTATTGCAGAGCTGAGGGTGATTGAGGAATTTTTGACTCATTATATTACATTGTCATCATCATCAACTGGGTTGTTTTTCATATTTAAGATTGTGCCCTAAAAACAGCAGATTTTTCCAATCCTAAAAATATGTGGTTTTTTTGTACTTTAACATTTCTGATATCAAGGCTGACCTGGCAGTCAGTGTATACATTTAATGTGATAAAGTTTATTTTTCCCCCCAAAAAAGGTGTGTTAAGATGAGGGTGTATTTGTGCATTTTATATTCAGTGCTATCTCATCATCTAGAACAGGTCACACACTGGCCGTCATAAGCTTAAGTCTATATAGAGGCATTTTTGTTTAACCTGCAGTTTTGTCGTGTTTTTAAATTTGGGATTAGTTGCCAATATTTTTATTTTTATTTTTATTTATTTATTTTATTTTTATTTTTTTGCCACCAAATGTTAAGAAAACATTTTATTTTCCGCGTTTTTAGTTGCCAATATTTTTAAAACTTGTAAGATTTTACTTGAGAATCCAGATTTCTTGACAAATTAGTAGGATTGGAAACCCTAGGCCTGCATTCCCATGTGGCAGCAATGGACAGAGCTGTTTGCTTCTTTCCACTGGGCATTTGTTCTCTAGGTTTGAGTAGTCCTTATTTAGATGACTATTAATTTATATTGACTTCCTGGTCCTTGTATGCTGCTGAGTTTGTAAGTTAGTTGGGTCCTGGTGAAGCTACGGTAACAGAAAGACCTAAAAATAGTGAAGCTCCAACCAGAGAGAAGCTTATTTCTATCTCCCATGGTAGTACAGAAGGAGGCAGGCAGTCCAGGCGAGGAAGGAAGCTTCCTTGACCACCTCATTGCTCGAACATCAACCTCTTCTCGTGTTTGTTATTAGTCTATTTGGGCAGGGTTGGTTCACCAATTCTCTGTTCACATTTCATGCCACAGGAAAAAGAAGAGGTTTCTCTCTATGTAAGTGATGCAGAAGTTGGATGCATTCCATTGCTTAGCACGTTGTCATGTGGCTACAACTAAGTATTGAGGAGGCTGGAAAATGTAGCCTTCAGCTCAGTGGTCATGTATGTGCCTCTTTAAAATTTGGTTGATGGGGAAGAAAGTTCTGTTACTAAAAGGAAGAAGGGGATCTTGGATCTTAGAGTCCTGCTACAGTTTGCATCTGCTGGTCGGGGAAATACAATATTTATAGTCAAACAATGCATTGGTGATCAAATCTGGAATGAGTAATATATTTATAACGTTCGTGGGAGAGAAATCTGAGGCTCTGAGGTTTGCCCTAGAACACTCAGAAAAGCAATAGTAGAACCAGAGCTAGAACTTTTGTCCCTGTCCATTGCTCCTTCCATTACATCATTCCAACTTTGTAAGAATATTAATTTATATTAGTAGGGTTCTTTAAATGAGCAAGTGATAGAGAAAACCCAGCAGCACTGGCATTTACAGCTTGGAAATCATCGGTTCAAGTTAGGTGCCCTTCGATGATGGCCACTTCCGCCTGTAATCCCTCACTTAGTTTCTCTTCTGCATCTCTAGCCAGCTATCAGGTAAAAGTTAGTTCTAGTTTTACCACTACCTGGCTATCTCTGAAAAAAGTTAACCCCCTTAAATACTTTTTCCTCAGCGTTGTATTGCTTCATGAAAAAAAAATGGTGAAAAGGACAAGCTAACGAAATGACAGCTAGTGGGAAAGTCATAAACCTGGAAGAAGTCTTAATACCATTGTATCTGTGTATGACTGGTCTGCATTGATTTTTCTCCCTTATAGGCTTTTATATATACTGTTCCCTTTGTCTAGAACATTCCATACACACCTGCCACCTGCCCAGCCCCCTTCCTTTCTCCTCACCTTTTAAATTGACATTTAAATTGTACTTCCTCATGAAGGCTTTCCCTGGAACTTTTAACTAGATGAAGATACCTTTATGTTCTCATATCACATGGGTTTCTGGATACTTTTTTATTTAAGGTCATTCCCTGCCCCCCCCCCCCAGGAAACTGTTAAATTAGTGAGAACAGTGGCATGTCTCACTGATTCTTTGCTTTATTTCCAGTATCCAGGTCAGATTCTGACCCTTATGAATTATCAGATGAATACTAAATGAATCAGGGGATAAATCAGTGGATGAACAGTTGAAGGGGAAGATGGCAGGGAAGAGAGGAAAGAAAAGGGAAGGTAGAAGCACCCAGTCCTTCGAGGTCCTTCCTAGTTCCTCATCTTGATTTTGGGGCAAGTGTGAGATCTAGAACCTTAGTAGCTGACAGGCTGTATTTCCTAAGCATCTTACACACATCTCACAACTGTGCCTCCCTTTTCCTCTTTTTAATCTCCAGTTCTTTCTCTGCTACATTCAGTTTGCCTGAGATGTATTCACACATTCAGTGGGTCCCATACTTTTGCATTCCATATTATTTTATTGGAAATAACCAAGAGAAGTTTTGAGGATTAACATAAGGTCACCAACTTTTTACCAAGAAAGGTGTTCCATCTTTGACTAGAGAAACCTGGTTTCTTTGCCTGTCATGCTAGCCAGTGATTTTCAAACTCTACTGCGGAGTCTGGTTCTGCAGATATGCTTCAGGGGCTGGGGATGAGGGAGGGTCACACCCCCTCTGATCAAAATGACCCTAATCATAGATCTTGATCAAATCATTACCTAAGCCCATTTCCCCAGGTCCTCCTTGACCTCCTACGCCCATTCTGCTTCATGAAAGCGTGGGTTTTTTTGTTTTGTTTTGTTTTGGGGTTTTTTTTTGGTATTTTTTTGTTTGGTTGGTTTTGTTTTTTTGGTGGTTTTTTTTTTTTTTTTGCTTTTGATACCCTCCAAATGGAATTTTTGTGTTGTGATAATTATGTGGCATTCAAAACAGTAAAATGCCTTGTGCTGTTAGACAACTAAGTAATGAAAATAGATGATGCATTTTTTTTCCAAGAACTATTTCTCACCTTCTTCCTCGAAGAAAAAACCTATTTTTCTCTTGTTAAAAGATCTTCCTGCCTTTCAAACTTATTATGTGCTTTTATTCTGGCAGTTTTAAATGTTATATTTTGAGAAATGCATATTGTATTTCTCTGGTTATTTTTCTAAACTTAAAACACTTTTCCTTTTTATTTTCTGTACTTTCCCTCTCACTTAAAGAGGGAACATGGCTCTAGTGCAATAGAAACCAGAGATATATATTCTTATATTGTTTTACATGACAGGATCTTTTTTTTTTTAAGATTTATTTATTTATTTGCGAGAGAAAGAAAGAGAAAGCAGTGGGGAGGAACAGAGGGAGAGAGAAACTCAAGCACACTCTGCACTGAGCACAGAGCCTGACACAGGGCTTGATCTCATGACCCCAAGATCGTGACCTGAGCGGAAACCAAGAGTCAGATGCTTAACCAACTGCAGCACCCAGGCACCCCAGGATCCTATATTTTCTTAATAATCAGAGTTACTCATGCACAGACTTAAAGAGCTAAATGGGACATTAGAGGATTTGGTCCAAACCCTTATCTTACAAATGAGGAAACAGAGACCCAAAGAAGTAAAATGACTTACTTAAACTCAGATTAAAAGATCCAGGTGTCAGTTAAGAACATGAATTGTAAACAATAGAAACCTACTCTGATTAACTTGAATGACACACTACTACGTCAAAGGACAGAAGTAGTGAGATTTGAAGCAATTCGATCCCTTCCAAGGGTATAAATTTCATGCAAGGAAAACAATATGAAAGATACACACTACCCATAAAAAATAATCATCCCATCCATGGAATTTTTCAATGGAACCAGCCTTATGTGAGGAAGCTCTTGTATATTGATTGATTCACTGAAAGGAATGACAGCCTGAATTTTCTTAAGGAATCACTTACCTTCAGAAGAGTCTCTGAACTCTGTATTTGGAGATAAATTGGAATTGTTTTCAAAGCTTCCCTTTCTTTCTCTCTGTAGA